AACGTCTCGACAAAAGTAGGTGTAGTTTCCCTGGTCGACTTGCAGAACAGCTTCGAAGATGTAGCCGTCATTTCTTTCCCCATAATAGAAAGTATATGTGGCATCGAATCATCCTCAAGCCTAGACTTCAGCTTTCTCTTCCAGAGGGGGATATCTCCGAGCATGTTCCAGAGAAATTCGGGTGCCCTGCCACCTAGAAATTGAGTACGATAAGGCACGAGATAGGCTGGCTGAGACTTCGCCTGTAGAATCATAATCAAGACATCTGTAGCTGACTTGCCTGCCTTCAAGAACAGCTCCAGCCCAGTTTTGATGTAGGACTCCTCCAGAGAGCAACTAGAGCTGCGCTGAGAGATATGGAGATCGAGCGCCGTCATTTCCGTGTCAACCAGAGCCGTCGAAAGCTCCCTTAGTCTGATATCCTCAGAGAGCCATGCAGGGGGTGTTGTCCATTGCAGCGGCCAAAATACGGGCGGTGGAGGTGGTGGAGGCGGCTGGTAGTAGTTAGGATGAGGCCAGGGTAGTATATCTTACGTTCACGCAGGAGGGAGAGGGTGCAAATCATTATATTTCATGGGCACGGCGCGTACAGAGCGCGACGCGACGCGAGACTACAAGTGCTCGATCGGCTGCGGTAATGCCGGCTTATCTAACCGATCTCCGACGCTTCTCGATGCTTCTTTACTGCCAATATTCAAACTCAGTTGGCTCCCTGCCAGGGAGTCGACGAAATCTCCCAGTCTCCCAGATGCGAAGGCCCCCATGGCCTGTTGCCTCTTTAGGCACGCGTCTCGGGAGACTGGTCACGAGTCTACATCTCTCACCAGTTAGCTCTCATCATGCATAACTGTCTCAAGGTAGCGGAACTGCAGAGCCACATTACGCTCTACATTGAGGACAAACCCTCTCTCGCTCATCTCGCGAGAGTCTGCCAGTCGTTCAAGGAACCCGCGCTCGATGCGCTGTATGCACACATCGACTGCTTTGTCACCTTCCTGAAGTGCTTACCCTCAGGCTTATGGAAAGTGCAGAAGTGTCCACACGAATACGTTCGGCGCGCAATGGTACGCACGCTTTCAATCTAGATCCTTGCTAAGTCTGACTCCGGCTGGTTGCTAGTTCTTCACCCGCCCGATGACGGCAAGAGACTGGGACCATCTGCAGTACTACGCGAAGCGAGTGCTGAGTATCAGCGGCATGTTCGAAGTCGAAAGTGCTTGGCGCAAGCCCCCCATGTTGCTGTCACGCGAAGTCTTGAGCGCGCTCAGCCGATGCCCTATCGCCATCCTGTTCCCCAAACTGCGCGCGCTTGACTTGTACATGACGGATGGAATGCATTGCAGGCTGATTGGCCCCGTCTTCTCTTCTCCTCGACTTCGCTCGCTGAAACTCTACGGCATGTACAAGGAAGTTGACTTCTTACTTCGTTATGCCCCCGATCTAGCGACGTCATCCCCGCTGCTTGAAGTTATCGACCTCGACCTTCGGTATTACAGCTACGATAGACGGCCCATACCCAACCCAGAGCCTGACGGCGAGATGTCTAAGGCAGTGCAGTCATGGCAGCATTTGCATTCCGTCAAAGTCGGCCCAGTGGATGAGGACATGCTCTTACATATCAGAAGACTACCTGCCTTGCAGTCATTGTTCCTACAGGTTGCTCGGACGTCTAAATGGCTGTCATCGAAACGCATCCCGTCCTTTGACGGCTTCAAAAAGCTCACCATTGCGAGCGACAGGGGCTCCACAGCTGTGCGAGCTCTTGAGCGTATCCTATCTGGACCTTCATCTGCCTCTTTACCCCCTCGACTCTCCAGTATCGTCAGAGTGGAGTGTCAGACACTCTATCAATACTCTTTGCTCCCATTCACTGCCGCACTTCAGCGTCTGTGCACTCATGATCTCGTCGACATCAACCTGACGTATAGAAATGGGAAGGATGACGAAGACTGGCCCCAGCTTCATCCAGGACATTTCGAAGCCCTCTACCCACTTACATCATTCCGAAACCTTGTTTCACTTCGGTTCTGGCTTTGTGAAGAATCTTGCGACTTATCTGCTACCCAATTGCTCGACCTTATTGGTCATTGGCCACGCTTAGAAGTGCTACGCATCGATCCATTTAGGGATCCTATAGACCTCCCCACACTCACTCAGCTCATGCAATCTCTCCCGTTGGGGAGAGATGTAGCCATTCCTACCATCATCGTTCCCGCAGACTTGGAGGAATTCGAGGATTCGCCAGATACATATCCAAGTTTTCCACGTGTTACGCATCTGCGTCTAACCTACGAGGAAGAAGGGCTTCCAGATTTCGACCCTGAGGGCGCCGTTGCCTCCTTGCTGTATCGCATTGTTCCATCCATTCAAGACATCCAGTGCGTTTTCGGCGAGGAAGAAGATTACTTGAAGGTTGTCATGAACACCATCAAAGCCTTGCGACAGGATGGAACACTACCTCAGGATATAGTCAGGTTGCCAAGGCAGGCACAGTACACTGGTCGACATTAGTGAGTTCAATTCGACTTGATTAACACTAGCTTGGGATCTAGGGTAGAATACAAGAGATTTGCAACAATTTGTATATGAGTAACAGATACGGAAATAACAACACATGGCGTTATTAAATCTTTACAGGGCGACGTAAAAGGATCGACTTGAGAGAAAACAAGTCTCTAAAATCGGTTCTTTCAGCAATGACCTTCCATTATAAGGAAAAATAGCTACTTACGTTTCAATGTTCCGTCTTTTACGTTGAGCTGGCCTGCACCTTGACCTTTTTCTTCAACCTCTTGCCGGCGATCGCTGTCACAACGTTGTCCCAGTATATGTCTTCTTCGTCCCCATAATTCACAGGATCTATCCTCGAGAGCCGGGGGGCGATGCGAGAAAGAAGAGTCACGACCAAGGGAATCGTACTCTGGTCCAATTCATCGTCTTCATCGGCATCGCCTTCTCTAGGCTCGTGTTCGTAGTCGAGACTAAGTCTCCGAATCTGCTTGAACTCTGGGATGTCCTTCGTTGACGCCTCCACGTCTGCAGTATCGGCGCGCGTGATCGACGTGGGGATGCAAACTTCGGTAGCGAGCGGCCAGACACGGATGAGTTTGATGAGGGCGGAAAGAGAAATGGGATTTTCAATGGTATTGATCTGGATGCTCCAGAGCTCCGGCCACGACGGCGCAAGTTCTAGGAGCTGGTCGCCGGTGATGCTGACAGGGATATCTTCGAAATCTACCCGGAGAGACGAGAGGTATCTGAATGGTGAGAGGGCACGGAAAGCGTTGAAGTGCTCAGAGAGACCTGGGTCTGCACGAGTGACACCGGCAAACTCGATCGACAACGAAAGACTTTCGAGATCGTCCGAGCATACGCGCGCTAGGGCTGTGGTAAACGCAAGGAAGGAAGATGGCGTGATCGATTCGCATTCGATGTTCGCTACATTGGCGCGTACGCCGGGAGAAGAGGGGTTGGACAGAAGGCGCGATACCGCTCGTACGGCAGTGGTCCCTGAGTCTGTTGCGAGAGTCAACCTTTCCAAATCTTTGAATGCTCCGAACTGGCGAGACGTCAACCATGGCGCCTCCTCGGTGACGTGAATGGAGAGTGACTCTAGGCAGGTGAGCGTGGTGAGATGAGAGATCATGGGCTCGTCCACGTCCCCGCAGCTAACTGATTGAAGGTGATTCCAGGAGCATACCGCCTCTGACAGATCGAGTAAAATCTCAGACTTGCTGGCGAATCGCGGCGCTTCGAACACCTTAACCAAAGGGCAAATCTTGCCCAGTTTCGGCGCGTAACGCAGAAGGTACTTTTGATCGTCGAGCCTCACGTACCGGAGCTGGGGACCAAGTAAGGTGAAGGCTATCATCCTGGAATGCCGTTCGTCAGGATGAAAGAAGTCGACTTTTCGCAGTTTAGGGAACAGGTCGGGGAACGGGCAGTGACAGAGAGCATCGCAGACGAGAGGCGAGAGTTTTGTTCTATGTTCGGCATGGATGAACGCAATTGTCTCCCGGATGGTGACGACGCGGGCAGCGTAGGGGCGCAAAATTTCCCAATCCTTCAAGGTCATTCGACGTCGGAACACCTAGCACGCATAAGGTTGAGTAACATCCTTATAAAACGGGAGTGCGGAAGTTTACAAGTGTTTGATGCTCGAAAGCGCCTGCAGGCGCGTCCTCGAGCGCCCACAGATCGGATGGCATGCATCTAAGAAAGTCTGCGAAGACATTTATGTCCGCATATAGCGCATCAAGTGCTGGTTCCTTGAACGATTGGTTGGTTTGGGCAAGGTGGCATAGTGTGGGTTTTCCTTGCACGAAGGAGATAATGAGATGCTGGAGCTCTGAGACGTTCAAGCATGGATGCATGGCAAGGGGGGAGAAGAAATACTGGGCCACGTGGAGGAAAGGAAGGACACAGCTCCGGCACACGCCGACGCGTCTGGGTGTGAAATTGCACTGCATGACATCATCGCCATAGCCACATACCATGGACATCTTGCGCACATTTGCCGTCACGGTGCTGAGAGAAAAGATACATCCCATTGTTAGTGTAACGCTACTACCCACACGACATTAAGTCTTTTAACTTGTAGCCTCGCTGACCTTCTCTTTGGCATCACTCGCTTCGTCCGGATGTAGAACACCCGACTTCATAATCCTCTGAGCCTCCTCTCTGACATCTTCCACGCGCAGCCAATACTGCCGAGGCAAAATCCCCTTGCCAAACCTCTGCGTTACGTGGTTGGAGCAAAGGAGCGCTATGACGATAGCAATCACAACGAACGGCACAAGCGAGAACGCGCTGATGTACTGCGTCATCAGCCAGCCCCGGTCGAAGCGGAGAAGGTGGCCCTTGCAGCCGGGGAGCGGCGACCGCGCATAGCATATCTTGCTGCCTTCTGCCTCGTGCAGCGGGCTGAACCAGCCGCAGCAGTGAAGGGCGTTTTGGATGGCCATGCGGCCCGCGGGGGTGTACTCCGCGCTCCAGGCAGCGTTGAGCTTCAAAGAGAGTGAATATACGGTGCGTTTGTAGGAGGCGTAGCCGACGGAGCACACCGAGACGAAGGTGGGCCAGAGAAGAACGGTGTAGACGGCGAGGAAGGGGCGGGAGTTGAGGAGGACACCGGTGCCGCCGATGATTGCGTTGAACAGTAGAAGGGTTCCGGCGACGGTGCTTAGGGAGAGGATGTCACGATTGGCCACGAGGACGACGTCCGCGTTTTGCCAAGCTGTAACACAATCAGTATGGAGCCAAAACATTGCACTCAACAACTCACTCCGGAACCAGGTGAGCATCGAGTCCACGAAGAGCCACACGCCAAAGCCAAAGACCATGATGACGGAGAAGAACAGCGCCCACTTGTGTATCGTCCATCTGGCCTTTTTCTTCTGCTCTTTTAGCTCCGTGCCCTCGACGACGTAGTCCTCGTCCTCGAGGACCAGCGCTGGAATCCTGAGCTTACCGACGCGACCGCTTTCGCCTAGCGCCGGAGCGTTGGGAACAGGGACACTCAGCGGTCGCGGCCACTTGTGCGTGAACTTGCGCCCAATGCCCACAGTGGATATGAGCGACTGCTTTCCGGAGTCGACGGAGCGTCCGCTCCGGATAGAGGCCGCTGAGACGGAATGGCGAACTGAGACGCGCGCATCACGAGCGGGCGGACCAGAGCTGCCGGTGCTTCGCACCGAGGCTTTTGAAGCGGAATGGGGAGTAGTAGCTCCTGAGCGAGGGAATCCTGGTGTAGGTAGGCGGGGGACGTGTACGTCCTCCTCGGGCATTGGGGAAAGGTTGGGCATATGCGGAGGAATATACATGTCTTGTCGAACTCCTGTCCTAGACCTCGCGGATACGGAGCGATGAATGTTGGCTGAGGTATTGTGAGGTAAGAAGGGTGAGACATAATGCACCGACACCACATACCTCTGGCTGCGTCCACTCGCTCGATCATCTCTCCGTCGCCTTCCTTGGAGTTTGCTAGTTCTGCGTTGCTATGCATGGCTCGGAAAAGAAGGGCGGCAACGGTATAAGTGCTTGTGTAGAAAGAAAGAATGGAAATGGGGAACCCGATGAGCGAGGTTTAACGATTCGTTTGTGTTCAGTCTGGGGCGGCCACCTTTGCAACGTTAGGTCAGTCGCTCCTCACCGGTCACCATCCACACCACTCACCATGGCATTCCGTCTCATTAAGGTAGCTTGATATGCGGGACAGACGTCGAAAGTGCTTGATTGCAAGACACCATCTACGCTCAGTCGTTCGAGCACAGGATGGCACGAGGTGACGGCCGTGGATGGACATCGACGAAAGAAGAGGTATCGAGAATGCGAGACGTTCACGGTCCGTATCGTAATGCACAAGCCACGTTTCAAGCGTCAAGAATTCAGCTCTTGATCCCTATCCCGTTTGTAGCCAGTTAACACCCCCAAGGACGAGGGCGTATCCTCTCCGTAGAGTGGCTGGTCGTGTTCTTCACATTCACGTTCTCTGTAGAAGATTGGACCCTGTCGATTGCATTTTGGGAAGATCAAGTAGGTATAGAAATGGCCATAATGGACGGTCCGCTCTGTGAGCTTGTAAGAACTTGGTCATGAATGGACCTCGCGGAAGCTGAAGACGGCAGTGAACGCGCTTGGGCGCGTAGGAAACATATGAGTGGCTGTGTGTTAGACCGGCCCTAAAGAGATGTATGCTTTTCCTGCGCTGCATGGTCTATCACCTACACTCAGTGCCGTCGTGCAAGATGAAAGAGATGCACCTTGGCTTCAGCATACAGCATGAGCGAGAATTCCATCCCGAGAGAGCATTTTAACGAAATGATTCAGGGTAGACCACCGACATGCTATGGAACTTGAAGGACTTCAAAGCACCCTGTGAGTTGTGATCTCGTGCCCATTTGCCTGCAGCTAGCTCCAAGTCCAAAGGGATTGTTGACATTTCAGATCCTATAGTCTCCATTATACATGCCAAAACAGCGACATGACATAACTCCGCTTTGAACGCCATGACCAGTTCAGCTTGGTTGAGCAATGTCCAAAAGTAGGTTTGAAGCCCCTAAAGCTATGTCCAGCTATGATACATGTGGACGTTGATTTACACGCCTCGGTCGTGGGGCATCTCTGCGTCGTTCTTTCTTCCCTTGTCTTTGATTTGATTGCCTCGCATCTAGAGCGCTTTAACTCCCGCCATCGGCCCGTCCGGATAGCGTCGTGTAGCAAGGTGGCGTCCCAGGGCAACATTGCTTCCATTGGTCTTTCGCTCGACGCCTCCCGAGACCACGCACAGCCCATCTTGACGCTCTAAACACTCCTTTTCGAAGGGTTTCAACAGCAGTTGCACTGCAACCATTCAACCCCTACAGGATCAGTGTTGCAAGTGGGCCGCGAGACGTGTTGTAGTTGATAGAAGGTATCGTTCATCTCATTGCCTTGTATTCCTCTTCTGTCGGCCCATCTCGGCTAGTTAGACGCTGGGAGTGTTATATCTATAGACCACTAGCGTCAGCGCTCGACATCTTCCCTCGACTTCCCGTGTTTTTCGCCCACCTCCCTTGACGGCCGTCTGGACACCTCACCCTCCAAAATGCCTATCTTACTCGTCCGCAGCAAAAACCCGGAGGTGTCGACCGTTGTTCAGGTCTTCGTAATCGTTGGCGTCCTCGGTAAGCTTATTAGGTTCTATCGATATTGATGCAGGGTCCTGCTCTGTTCAGGAAGCCGCATGCCCGAAGAGCTGATCGACCGTACTGACCGAGCCCTTTGCTTCCAGTTGGCGTCTTCGCATTTGCATCGCTTCTCATATTCACCGTTCATCGCTTGCGGCACTGGCTATTGAGGAGGACGGAGAGCTTAGGTGTATTTCCGTCAACGACGACGCTTGAGGAGGGTCGGGCGCGCAACTCAGACAGCGTTGCTACACTTCCCCTATACTCAAAGGCTGCGTTGGATGAGAAGGTGGACGTACCGTCAGGTCCGGCTCCATGTACGTGATCGAGCTCGCCCTTCCGGACTGCACATCGACTAATTAACCCTCGATAGCTTATGAGGAGCAGGACTCACCCAACACTAGCGAGGATGGAGAGTGTGTGAGCATAGAGATGCCCACGATACCTTCCCCGGCTCGAAGTAAGCAACCTCATTAGCCATCTTGAATATGACATTCAACTTCCACGCAGCCATGGACCACTTCTCTGGATCTGGTATAACCTCGCATCCCCACCCGTTCACTCTCCATGCCTCATAACCCACATTTTCGTTTTATCCCGCTTACCCCATGGACTCGCTCTCATCTCGGATTAACATTTGCTCTCTTGCCTCATAATTTGCATTACGGAATCGCATCATCCACTATCCCGTTATCATTGGCATTGTTCCCTCATAGCCTGCATTATCATCCTATTCATCCATCATAATACTACATTTTTTTTCATGCCCCAATCCCAGTGAGATCGAGTCGACGTCCCACCCGAACAGGGCGGGACGCCGCATGGTGCGTATGCAGTGGCAGTGGCTGCCGTTGATGCTGCTGGAATTATGCGCTGTGTCTTTCATCTTTCCATTAGTCCTTTCCAGCCAAGCTCATGCGACATTGGCAGTGCCTGGGTCATTTCCACTTTCGAAACGGGTGGCAAACAGTGGTGCTTATATGTCGCAAGAGCATTGTGGGCGAGGCGAGCCTTGAGGTAAGCATCAATGACAGATGGCGCTTATCGTGCAGGTGGGCGCTTGTTATATATTGAAATCACGTCCCATGGCTCTCGCGCTTCCACTTATGGAGGCTTCGATGCGCTAGCATCCAGGGTCCGTTCTAAACATATGCTCGCTCGTCGGTGAACACCGACGCCCTCGTTTCTGCAATCACAGCTTATCACACGGGGCCCGACATTGTACCGTGGCCCCTGCAAATGCCAGACACGGAGCTACGATTATGACGAGATTAGGTGACGACATGTTTAGTGTTACACTAGTCCCAGACGTCTCAGTAGGCGCCGCCGAGTTTTAGCGCTGAAACACTGATACTTTGTGAGCCCATTTACAGCCTCCTAGCCGTCGACTCCCCTTGAGTTCTCATCTACCTTTGTGTTTTAGTTGAAGTGACGCAACTCTAGTCATCACTTGTTCCCCTATGACGCGACTCTCCTCACATCCCTAAAGGCCCCTGAATACACTTCGAGTGAGTATATCTAAGACGCTGGACTTTGCCAAATGTTTTATCACAACACAACATCTTCAACGCTATTACACCCCTTTACACAATACCCCCCTCGATACCTCATACTTTATCTCCAACAATGGCACCTACGCAGGCTTTCGAGCTTAGCGGTGAAAGCACCAGCACCGCATCAAGCATTCAAGGTATCCTTCTCATCGTTGTCTCCGTAGTTTCTCTTGGTAAGAGATTCATTTTCATTCTATATGTACTTAGTGCTGACCATATCGCAGGCTTCGTATGCATGCTCATCACCTACTTAATCACTGTTGGCAAGCGTTGGCGCAAACAGAAGCGCGAGCGCGAGCGCATCGCAATCATTACGAACAACAAACGAATCCAACCGCTGCCGTCGCCCCCGACCTCCCGTTCCTCGAGCAGCAGTGGCTTCGTGACTGCACCCGGAACATTGTCCCCTTCCGGCAGCCCCCCTCTCTTGCCCCCTAAGGCACCTGCGATGGCGAGCATCAAACTACCGTCGCCGAGGCCGGTGTGCAACCCGTGTCACCTGGGCACGTTTGAGCCCGCAAAGTCGTCAGTGCACGGCGGAGTCATGATCATGCGCGACGGGAGCTGCGGGTGTGGATGTGGGGAGATGATGGACAAAGGCGTGGGCGTTGCCACGCCCAGGAGGAAGACGGATGCACCTTTCGAGAATGTACCCCTAGACGGTCCGCCCTCCTATCGTTGTGAGTATCTCTCGACTAATGGTGGTTTTTGATTTTTGACATTCTGTATTTAGTTGCTTGAACAGGCGTTAATCAGGACAGTTGTTGAACATTTCTGTATATCACTTATCTATTCACTAGTAGCTATAGCCGGGTGCCATAGCCGAACCCTCGCTCGGTACCATAGTTAATGTACCTATTGCGAGCGAAATGAAACCGTTAATGCCGATATGACAGACTGAGCGCTCGTACAACCTAGTGCAGATCTGGCAATTCTGAATGTGGGGAGGAAGCTCAACAAATGCACAGATTCTTTACGTGCTTAAAATCTACCCGCGACACTTTAGAGAAACAGCAAGCGGCGTGTCGGATACTCGAAAGACAGCCATGATCCACTTCATCGGGCGTTAGACTGACTTTTGTCGGCGACGGATGGTAACGTTGAGACGGAGCGGACAAAGGCCCGAGAAGAAGAAGCGGAGCTACCGTGAGAGAAGTAATTTAAGCGCCGAGAACAGTGCATCGTCGCATCGCAACAGGGCAAACTTGGACTTCACCTCAAACCTTGACGTCGCTCGCGGACGGTTACCGTCCTTCCTGCCCATCCATTTCCTGTGCTACATGCGATAACTTATGAATGGATCGCCTCGTGGCTGACATTTGCTGCTAGCTGATGCTGTACCAATGGTCTCGGATTGTTCCGTCCTTCCTTTAGAGGTGCGCCCTTAATGAAAAAACACGTTGCAGTCCAAAGTTTGGCTCACTCACATCAGACGCCAGTGATTTCCACGCTTTGACGTCCAATAACATGGAGAACGAGATGATCCTCCGGTCATATAGGATGCTTCTCTTTCCCCGGGGAAAGTTCTATGAACCCCGGTGGATGGGCTAACCGAAGCGGAGTAGACCTGGAGGAGGGAGGGTCCGACGACCCCCATGGCTTGCATGCATCGCCTACGACGGAGGGAAGCTTGAGGTCTGTCGCATATATAGCTTGGCTTCTTCTTGTCGATTCCTCGAACACAAGCTGCGTCAGGCAACACATAAGGCCTCTGTGGCCCGGTCACTCCCTACCATCAAGTGACCCTATACCCTCGCGTCGGCTTTCGAACACCATCTACGAGCTCATGACCTTTATCATGGCCTTTGAAACTGGTGATGAGCCCGCTGGTGTACTCGGTGCGTCTCCATAGTTTTGACTTCGTCCAGATGCTGATTCTCGTTTCTTAGTAGCCATTTTCCTCGTGCTTACCGCCATCGTGTACACTGTACAGCACGTAAGGCTGCCTTGCTGTACTGGTCAAGTTGAGGAGCAATGCAACGCCGAATGCGCCTGTTTTCAAGGACTGCCATACGTTCAATACGACGACCCCCCGCCTCCCTACGATCTCGCTTGCGCTCAACCCGTTTATCCGCATGTGCCTTTTAGTGACACCGCACCCCCGACTTACGCTCAAGCGACGATAGATCCAGAGAGCCCCTGTAACGACTATAGGTGCGTAAAGATGTATCATTCATGAACATGTATTGGGAGTGGCACGCTGTACACATGCGAAACGCGTATGTTAGGCTCAGCATCGCCGTGAGCCTCACTTGCGTGTCCGCCAACTCTTCCTTCTGACATATCCTCATATCAATATCAATATCTAACCATCTTTTCATCAGTATTGTTCCCTGGGTCAAGCGTATCTTTACCGATGCTGCAAACATTGAGAGCGACTTACATTGTTCACTTCTCCTATCGTATTAAACATTTCACTTGTTGGTTTGAGTCAACAAAATGGGCCCACTAGGCGCTCAAAAGATCACTCATTTTCCCTTTCATTTCTGACATCCCCATGTTGTGTATACCTTAGGTTCCTTCCGTATGCGTATATGTTTGTATCTTTACTCCACAGCCCTATCCGTCTTTTGTTGTACATATGTATGGGTTTAAGGACGCTACCCTAGATAGTTGTATGCTACTTGCTTGTTTTGGCGCTCAATCGTGTCCATCATGTCCGCGCGTCAACTTATAAACTAAATTTATCTTTAAGATCTAGGGACCACGGAGGTATCGCATGCCCTACGTTCCCGCGAGACTTCACGAAAGAACTCAGCGTCAGTACTGAGCCACCTCACCGGTATCATGAGGTCTCGACCTCTCGAGGCGGAGTTGATATGCCTCCGAGACAATTGACGGCGGGAAGGTTCCGCTTTACTTCCGCGGAAGCAAAGTGGGCGAGATGGTGACACAGAGCTATCGTGACGTCAGCGTGCTGGGAGCATTACTATATTTGGAAATGCTTTCCGGAATGCCCGCAATGCGGCCCACAACACGCACTGCATCCGCCCTACTCCTCCTGCGCGATCGCCTAGATCTTGCGGATTCCGCGTTATCCTCCACAGAGCGGCCCCGCGCAGCTGCTGTGTAGCTGCCACAAATCCGTCGTTTTTCTTCTCTTTTCACGATGGCTGCGGATTGACTGCGCCAGAACGAGAAGAAGCTGCGGCTTTCCCGGCCGTGGACTGCCACCACAGGAAGTACGACCTCGGTTTGAGATCAAGCGAAAGCCTTTGGGTGATCCGACTAGTTGGAAGACCTTCTTGACCCGGGCCGGTTTGTCAATGACCTTCGGGGATGGTCATCACAGCACGAAGCCGGAAGGCCAGATCTTCGGGCACGCAGTGCCAAGAGAGGTACCATTGGTGAGCTTTTTGGCTTAAGTAACTGCGCCGAGGCAGTGTGCGTTTGCTGAAGCCGCATCATATAAAAACTCCTTGTCCCATTGTCTCTCCCTTTCATTCATCATCGCTATCCAACTACTCTCTTTCGACCAACTCTGCTACGACTCTTCACGTTCACGTTCGCTGTTATCAACAACCTCCTGCCCTCTTCTTCACCTATCGCCATCATAACGCTTGCAATCGCCACTGTATCCAAACACCCTCTTCAGGATATGCCAATCGACACCGTTCCAGAGTTCTTTGGGGTGATCGGTGGGTCAATTGTTTACTTTGCCTCTCTTCATACCACTAACGCTCGATTCCAGTCACTGCTGTCCTGTTCATTACCGGTCCCTCGTATGCCCTCCGACTTACCTCCCGCATCTTTGTCCCCTACCCCCTCGACGATATCGCCGCCATCACCTACCCCATTAGCCCCATTTCCAATGAGGTCCTTGATGATACTCCAATAATTGTAGACCTCGAAGAGCCCGCACCACCACCACCACCACCACCATACGAGGCCTACGTTCTGCCTTCATACCCCCTGATGCCACCCGCATACACCGTCGAGTCCATTCCCGCCGCTGCCTGATCCGGCCCGGTAATTGCGCCCGGGCGGACCGGTGCTCCATCGTCGAGACCGTTTCCTTTGTCGCCTCCGTCTTCTTTCCCATCATTCCTGACTATAATGACTCTGCGCCCCGTTTTTGAGCGCGACGGCAGGCCTACTCGATGCTCACATGCCAGAGGCGTTATTCCTCGCGCTATCTAGCCGCGTACCCTACTTCACGCTGTATCATATCCTCGTGTGTTCGTCTCATTTCATCCACATTGCATGTCACTATTTACTATAGCTTCATTTATAACGCATAGTATCTTTATACCTTATTCTTCTTCAGAATCTATTCCATCTCTACCTTACCTAACCCGTACTCCAGCTATCTAATTACTTATTAGCATACAAGTTTGCCTCTCCACGCTATCGCACATCCTAGTTACCTCTCTCATAGTGTATACGCTGACCTAGCTACAGTTCGAATTAATCAAGCAAAGCAAAATCATACACCTCCGTGAGCCCACAGGCGCTCGCTATCATCCACAGAGATCTAAGACATTTAGACGCGCTCCAGATCGGGCCGAATATGTCAGAGCCACGTGGCCTTGCGTGGAAAATTGCGTGGGAACCACACTCGGCCATCCCATCTCGCTCGTACCAACTCCAGTTGATCGCTTTCCGCGCTCTCCACACGTGCTTCGGGGTCCTTGTTGTTCTGTGCAGAAGCTGTTGCATGGACTTGTTGGCTCGTGTCGGAGTGCGTCAGCTCCCTTGTAGGGAGCCGCGGCCACCTCAAGCAGACTAGCGCAAAATTTGCTTGACAAGTCACATGTGCGTGTGTGATGAGTGTGGAGGACGGTTGTGCTAAATTACTGATTTTGTGCTTTTGGATAATTAGGTCAGCGTTCTATGGAACATTTTCCGCTTCCTAGCACAGGTTTTGCGGTCCCATTGATCCTTTGCCGTTCGGGAAGGCTGTCCTGCGTGGTCACTTCTGGTAAGGGCCGATGTGAGGTCGCCCGCCCCTGTGCGGTGTGCGGTTGTTGTCATGTCACAAAGGTGATTCTTAACGGTCAAAGCGTCGACCTCGCTATACCATATAACCATGGCCAGCTACGCGTCGAGCTCTTCATCACCTCTCTTCTACCTTCTCTTACCAACTCAGACCAGCTTTCAGCCAGCTCTCATCGAAGGATCTTTGTCCTGCGTCGATAACGTCCTACATACAACATCGGAGGCCTGGTTTTCATTAGGCTACCTGCCACTCATACATCACTCCTCCTTGGCAGCGCACGCGTCACCCAACCGAGCCCTTGTTCTCAATTAAGCAACTTTCGACATCTTTGGGAACGAACACTTGAAGGGGCATTCAAGCATGGCATCTTTCGTCACATTAGTCGCTGACATCAAGGTCGTTGTCTCTGTTGTGTTAATTTTTGGTGCGCCTTGTTCTTGATTTACATGGTATTGGTACTTAAGCCAGGCTGTCGTCGCTAGGCTTGTTCTATCTCGTTGTCTTCGTGTGCCACGGGGTCGACCGTCGGTCGCATCAACGTCGCCGACGTTTCCTCGACCTTGAAGCCACCGCCAATGAAAGCGCTGAACAGGTACAAGACAACCAACACACCGAAGATAATGTCCAGACTCCTGCCCCGGCATACGATTCAGAATGCCCTCCTGCGTACACCGTCGAAGACGCGCACCCCATCGCCGGCAGCATTCTCTCAGCGAACATAGCCGTTGACCACACAACTGCGATGGGTCGACACCATGGTAAGCCTATTTGTATCCGTGGCGCGTCAAGATGCTGAAGATGTGTATTAGAATCTAGCGCTCTAGGCCTTACCGGTCTGGAGGTTGATATGGGTCCTCGTGCCGCAACGGAGCTGGCTTTCATGTCACAGGAAGATGAAGAGGATGGCACGGATCTGGGTGCGTACATCTACAGATCTCAGGATGCCACTTTATCTGACAGCGTTTTTGCGCTAGGTGAACTCAGCACCCTGGAGGCTCTTGAATTAGACGAGCTCGACGCGTCGGTTCTCGAATGATCTCGAACTATTCTATTTGCACATCCATTCAATCACGCGGGGAGCGCTGGCTACGCCAATCAAGGCGTTCGCTTCTCATGTTTTCTCCCATCATCATCATCGTCATCGTCGTCTCGTTCATATATCCACACATTTTCTTTGCATTTTCCATTCTCTTTTCTGCTTAGAACAGCTGCATATCGCATATCTCATTCCCACTAACACATGTGTTTACGATTTCATACCACCGTTATTTCTAATATATCGTTAGCGTTACCCTATGTTTACTATCTAATCTGTGAAATAAAACAAGATCAATAACCCCACAACAACCATGCTTGTTGTGGAATGCAGGTCGGACGTAGAAAAGTAGGAGCGCAGGTGACTGCGGCATGCCCATGCAGACAAAGGGAGACCCAAAATCACGAGAGCGACGGTGATTGCAAACAGCATCGCGCGCAAGGAACGGAGCATAGTCTTGGTCTCCGCTGATCAATTGGATGCGCTTCCAGTTCTCAGACACTGACATCACTCGGATTCCTGAAACCCCGCCGAAACTTTGGGGCAACAGGGTCCTTTGATTCGTCTTACCACTGCTGGTATCAATAAACCGACAGAGCGGTACAACCTCAGTTTGTGCCAGCGCCGACCCCATACAGCATATCACTCTGAAAGACATGTTCGGGCCGACATATCTAGAACCGATCATCGTGTGACTGAGCATGCCCTTTTCAGCGTTAAGTGGAGAAGTGTGGTTCTTCCCACGAGGGGCCTCTCCCACATCGGATCACGGACAGGGAGCTATGTCTTTGAAGATCGCCAGAGCTCCCATCATGGGTTACTCTCAATACAAAAATGGGCTATGACAACGATCGAAACCTTACTCGGTGATTGTCCCGGGATCGAAGCAACCTCGTATCATTCACTCAACACCGTCCGCCACTTCTTAACGGCATTATGGAGCAGTGTCTCGAGGCGCCAAACAACTTGCTCCTTGGATAAACCTACTGCCTGCCCTGAACACTAGTAGTTAGCCTTCTTGAAAGCTTGATGCATGCCGACGAATGATTCGATCTGCAGGCTTCTATTGCTTCTAAATATTCTACGCTCAGGGAATACATTCCCACGCAGATTTCTGACACAATTCAGTTTAAGAATACGACTAGGGTTTATGTGAGATTATCTGTCATTTTGGATGGCTTACTTTGGCGAATCGAGATCTAACCAGCTGGGACTCGATCGATGAACACCGTGACACCGCCCCTCCGCCGCTCGGCAGATTTTCCATTACTGCGCTTTGCAATAAAACGCGGAATCGCGCGCGTTGTCCAGGTCGGACCCCAGAAGCGACGTGTTATTCTCACGCTCGTGGAGATGCTCGCTCGCACTAGCTCACACGCGACTCGTGTCGCGTGTTGGGGAACTCAAGAAAGTCAACAGCGCTACTAGTTTACGGGGTCTCTCCGGAAAGTTCCGACACGCGGCTTCATCCAAAGTTGCGATTCCGCGTTTTATTGCAAAGCGCAGTAAGCAATGATCGATGATCGGCGCTCGGATGCAGGTCTCTCCGAGTCTCTCGGGAGCCAACTTCGGGTTTATCTAGAGCTCCGCGAAGGGTACCGGTAAACTCCCACAGGACTTGCTCCAGCATACAAAAGATGTTGGAATGTTGTGATCTATAGTCTGGCTGAGACACATTTTTGGGTGGCAGAAGATCCACACGGCAGCGGTGATCTGGAGATGTAATTTCGTCGTGTCATCCTCTAGAAACCTTAAGCTTAAGCTTGGCTGGCCTCATCGGCACCATCCTCCCCGGACCTACGCTATGCCCTTGAATGACAAGCGGCGACTACTTCTTCAGCTTCAACCTTTGACAATAGCTATTTCTCTCGACTCTATTTTGAACATAGGTGGACGTTCGCGTAGGCACGCATCACCCTACAACATCGTCCCTAAAAGTAAAGCATCTTCCCCCCCAAAAAATGGTACGAAGACAAATTGGCCTGGTCAACCGTGTCTGCACATGCTTGAGGTAAGCATCCAGTATGCATCTAGCGAATAGTACCTTTCCTGTACTTTTGGATAACAATCAAGCTATCTTTAGAATATTATTCCCGTGCGAATACAGGTTCTTGAACCCGCTCGAGTCATGTTGGTTGATATGTGGTTGTCCATTTGCATTCTTTGATTCCTATCCTACCAGGGATGCTTAGTCTCGTCATTCGAAAGTCTGGCACATTAGCAAAATCGATTCTTTCAACGCTTGGTCAGTAAAGAAACCATCCTGGAGTCCGAGTCGGGATGGTGCGCGTCGCGCCCCCCGTCCTATCAGCCCTACCTTCTCCAACACTATCCTTCACTTGAATGGGCCTTTGTTCTTGTCTGAGCGCAGACTCGGACCGGCACCAGGCTTGTGCACAGTTTTAAAAGGACATAGATCTTTGTCCTTATTTGACCAGCTGCTCGGCATCAAACATGTGGTGGCTGTTTTATCCCTTTATGGTGCGCCTTGTTCCTCCGTCTGCGAGGCGATGTAGTACTTAAGCCTCGTTGGCGTTGCCGCTGGGGTTACTCTCTCTTGTCCGTCTCGCTCTCTTATACTTGACATGGTCGTATCACTAATGCTATTACCAAACCTCCCCCAACGCCTCCCCCAACGCGAGAAACAGCACCGAAAAAGGCGATGACACCCATGATGGTCAACACGCCGAACAAACTCCGCCACATGCCTACGCCAGCTTGCCCGCATACAGTTTGAACGACGTGCATTCCCTCATAAATCCACGATGATATAGCTAGGAGTTGCAACGAGGCAACCGCTTGGTTTACCAGTAAGGTGCTGCTTGATTGAAATGGGCCATCGTACTGACACTCTCCTACAGACGTAAATGCTGTCGGCTCTGGCGTCAAACTGACGTACGACCTTGCGTTAGCAAAGTGTTGGAGAAATACAGGCCAAAAGATGAAAAGGAGAGTCCGATGTCTCAGGTAAGTCCACTTGGTATCTGAACGTTGTTCTCTCTCAGAACATTCTCTCCTCGGAACTAAAGTTCGTGCAATAGACTCATCAAGCCTGCGCGGGCTCAGTGAAGTCGGTCAAACACAAATCTGACCTCACCACCCCTTGCTCTTGGTCGCCCCCACTCATTGTTGAACCCGTATATTTCTTTCTCGGGTACTGTAATATTCCGTTCATTTTCACTTGTCATTGCAGTTTTGTTGGCGTCTCTGTATAACCTCGCACTTGTTGTCTTCCCTCTGTTGATATTTGTTTGTTTCTCAATTGATTTATGTCTATGCCTCGAAAACCAGCTATTAAGAGGTGTCTTTTGTTTCTTCACGACTGAGCTCGAGCACTTATAGATGTGGTCATGTTCTCGCTGTCTCCTGTGGAAAACAAGCGTCAGCGAAAAACGTCTCGGCGGTCAGTCTAGTCAGACAAACCGGGAGTGAACTACTCGATTGATGGGAATACCGTTCCGCAAAACGTGTTGATGGCATTTGACCTTGGTTGGAAGCTGGGAGATCAGAGACATGGCGAGGCCTGCCTATTCTGCTCTCTGCGTGCCGAAGGATACGAAGCGGATATCCAAAATGTAAGTTCTAATCGGGCCATCGCGCGGCAACAAAGAAGACACCGTCTAGATTTGTTGAAGCGTAGCCTGATGTGGATCACCGGCCGTGATTGAAATCATTGAGATCTATGAAGCTAGTCACGCTGGAAACAACATATGTAACCTAAAACCCTCTAAGGTTCGACGCTGAGGCTCCGTCGGAACACCAGTAGGAATTAAGCTCGATCACCAATAGCCGCGCCTGAGAGCAGTAGAAGAAGGTCACGAAGGCGCCCAGGGCACCGCTCGGCGGGCCGGATGTTCATTGGTTTGGGGCGTCTCAAGGTCTCATTCGCATCGGTTGGCAGGTGCAGTGATACGGGACGCGGTCAAGCTCGAGTCCCAAAATTTGATACCCGCGGAAGCAGTACTTCCTAGGATTGGCTTAGATCTGCTCCAACCGATCTATAGCCAACCTCACTCAGATTCGTCCCTTTCCAGAGAACATGCACTAGCCATGACCGGACCCTCGGCACTGTACCAGAATGGAAAGAGGTGTGCTTCTTTCGACTTGGGCACCGCCAGTGTGGAAGTACCTGGCCCTCTTCCAGGCATGAAACATTATTGTACGACTCGTTTGAGGCGCCTCGACCTCAGGCCTCATGTATAGTCGACCGCACACTCGATCGACCCTATAGGCCACTCAAAGCGTTGGCTCTGTCCGTCTCCGTTCCCCCGTTCATCTTGCTCTTGTCTTGCGCGTAACCGAGCAGATATAAATTCTCAAAAACATTCCCCTCATGTCCTCTATCGCTTTCCCAAATCCGACTGTTCAAAGGCCAGTGGATCCCCACAAGCTCTCCCGCCATACTTCGCTCTGTCGGTGAAGAGACTTCTCCTTCCTTTGCCAGCCTAACATCTCAGACGTGTGAGCTGTCTCTGTCGGTCATTATGCGATGTTTTCACTGCCCTCCACAGCCAATGACACAGCGGACCTCAAGCTTCAAGCGTCTCGTCTCGGACCCTTTCCGTGAGTGCTTAGCCCCATGATGGTGACTGTGTACCCGTCAACGGCTAATCCATCACCAGGAAACACCATTACCGCCATCTTTCACTTTATTTCCAGCGCTGTCGGAAGGTCTAACGACGCGAGGGACGCGCCTTGGGGTGCTCCTCCCCGTGGGACTCATTCCGCCGAGTATAACGTTGTATACGACAGGGTTGAAGGTATGCCGCTGCGAACTTCGCCAACGCACGCTATAGATGGATATTTACAATCCCACAGAGCAGCCAGACGCCCTCGGTCTCAGCAACAGGCAGCCTGTTGGCGCGCCGCGCGTCGTGAATACAGGCAAGACGATTCTCAGATACTACGACCCTGAGCACGAGTCGGCTACCCAGGTGAGCTTTCATTGACTCCTTTGGAACAACGGTTAATCAGAGTTGAAGACGCGTGACGTGTGCCGCCGTTAGCACGGATGCAGGCCATTTCGCTCTTCCGTTTATGAGCGACTGTGCTCATCTCGCGGTTAACCTCCGGATGGGCGGGCGTCTTCTGGGTCCTGTGTCATATATTCTATGGCCGTATAGTAACATGTGTGAACTTCGCTATAATGATTACATGATTTTCCTTTGCTTTGAAGTTGTGTGATAACTGCATATAATAGAGTACATTATTTGTGCAGAGGAAGAGATAATTGCGACAATGGCATTTGGAGAAATTCAGTGTGTTGCATTGTATCCAGCTGGGGAAGGGCCCGCTACTTTTTGGGCAGGTAAAATTTCGCTTGTTCCGCGTTCTGTCAGTCGTGGGAGCGAAGTGTGACGCGTGCGCAGCTGAGTCCTCGACCGTCTTCGTGCTGCTACCCACTCCTGTCGTTCCGGACCTCCATTCCGCAGGCCAGCTCGCAAAAACGAACATTTAAGCAAAACATAGAGGTAACGTAATATAAAGGGTACTTATATGAACGTCAAGACCTTCTCTGGGATGTTAGCTTTCGCATCTCATCCCTGTCACAGTAGCCATAGAACGGCGATAGTTTTCTCCATACCATAAATTTCAACCCACCCTGTCCAACCAGTGTCTGGGTTGGCCTATGCCACACCAGCATTGATTTACGATGTGTGTAATCTGCTTGGAAAAGCAGGAGTAGTTGTGCATAATTCCATCAATACGTACGATGATACACGGTATATAGCGACTGATAAAAATCTCTAATCAATAGTTGTCCACAGGGACCCGCAGGGATCCACCACGTCGGCATGATCACGTCGAGACCTAGTTGTGGTCTTTTGAGAATAGTCTGATGTTTTTTCGTGTTCCTGAGTATCATGTAGTCGCAAAGCGCGTGCCTACACCTCTGCCCACGAGCGCCATGTCCAGGGACCGGGATTGGTTCCAGCGTCTGAAGTCGGATACCGGCATGGGAGAAATTAGAACTCCGATTGTATGTGCCTCTTTAATTTTTAGTTCCCACGCCTCGTCGCTTGCCCTTCGACTCGAACCCCCACAGCATCGTGTGCTTGCAAGCTACACATTATAGCAAGCATCCTCATCCCATGCCTCATACTGGATACACTCATATCTTATAGTATAGATTTATGAGGCACGCATACAGCGCTCTCTGGCCGTCGGTACCCTTTATGGTCTTCCACGTTACGGGCCTGCGGACTTCATCACCCTGACACAATACTGTTGAGAGAGAGGAAGCGTCCAACAAGTGTGTAAAGCTTCGTATTACATCCCGCTACTCACTAAATTACTAGTTGGCTCTGTTCGCATAGACACACTCCCTTTCTTAACCGGAATTATGCCCGAAGGCCACGCAGCACCGAGCTTCCTGGTCCTCGTATGCTCCGAATCCTTGCTGTCGTGTCCAAAGTAGATCTGAGACTTCGGACGACGTCCTGATGGTTCTAACCCTGGTCATGTTCTCTTGTACAGTGGGGAATATGAGGCCGTGGCAGCACCTCCGGTGGCCATTCTGCTCCCTTTACTAATCGTATACTGACGTCTCAACCCTAGCAAAACTGGGGGCTGACACAGACTTTGATCCGTCTTTCTCGAGCATTTTGCGTATTCATCCTTTGACTTTGTGCTTTGGGCGAGCGACGGTATATTGACTCATTTCCGATATTTTTCGAATTACCCTTTGTCGCCTATGCGGTTCCGTTGTCTAATTAAGTTTTGAACGTACCAACACTGCTTTGTATTAATAGTTCTCAACTGAGTATATATGCACCGAAACGACGTTCGTGAGAGTCCCTTTGATGGGCTCTTGGGTCGGACTTTCCCTCCTCGCCCTTACCTTAGATATCCCTGTCCTCGGCCAGCGGGGCGTTCTCAAGAGGTTATCTGCCACTTCATTTGGTAACAATGGCGCCTTACTGAAAATCCATGCCATGCGTCAGAGGTTTTGATTGCCCCCGTGCCACTTAAAATGGACACGTCCGTGCCGATTGTCTTCTACGCGGCCTCCACCCGAGGTCACCGTGCTCATCTTCAATGAAGACCGGGATCTCCGCCGCTTCCATCCACAATGCTCATTTCATTTAGTCTTATAGTAGCGTAAGCGCAGTATCTGGTCACCTACTCGCCGTCTCCTCCCAAATGTTGGGTCGGGCCTCTTGGCTTACTTCCACCGACTGACATGCGAGTGGCATGCCACGCAGCCCATTATAACAATTGGAAGCGGAAAACTCTATTAGAACCTCGGAAATTATTACTAAAGGCTGTGAGCACAGGGCCATATCGAACGATCGATGCATTTGAGTGTTGCCGCCAGAGTGACTGAGGCCTGGGAGCAGTGGCTACAAAGCTGTAAATCGGATGGGACCGGCGGAAAGTTGAGCGCTCCGGAACAGGTCTTAAAGTCTCAATGATTTCCGTATTTGTCGTGAAGTTAGGGTTACGCGTACGCTCAAACTTTTAGACTAGGACATGCTCGATGTTAATGTGTCAAGTCTATGGGTTTCGGAAAACTGTGATACACCGCCAGCTTTTGGCTTTCAGTCCAGCTTACCATGTGGCCTATGTACATCGTGAACTCTATTGTATAGACCATTTCGACTAGCAAGGGCTGTCCACGCAGATGGGTTGCACTTCGCTGCCTGTGATTGGCTCGTGAACGATTTCAACCCCGGAATAGTGTTAGGGGCTAGGCTAAACAAGCAGATCAATGATTTGTAAGCAGGACCCTGCCTCTTCCTCGTACTGAGTCGGGTTCTCCGTTGTATCCCGCCTTTGGGAGGTTTGCTGTAGATTCCACCATCATTGTTCCCAGCTTGGAGCTCCAACGATTTAATCTCAGCTATAAAGTCGCGACCTCGTTGCATTAGCTGACTTGTTCCTCCAGGCCCTCGTTACTCGCATAGGGACACATCTCGCCACCCCGCATTTACGCATTAGCTTGGTGTCCCCGGTGCGCAGCACGCGCCTCATCCGGGGTGAGAATAGCATCGAGTACAGATGTTCAACCCTGTCCCTGTGAATCAGCTATCCCTGATGACACGGCGGAGGAATGGAATCGATACGCGACGCGTTTTTGTTGTTATTTGGTGGGTGATGATCTTGCAGCGGGTTCTTTTTCCTTATCAAAGCTGACTCGACACAGTTTTAAATTAGAATAGGGCTGTATTTTGCTCATGCGCCGCGCGCGTCCCGTATTTTGCCGCCTTCGGGGTCCAAGGTTTACGGCAGATGCAGAGAAACGGCATTATGCGAGATCGGATTCCAAATTGGGACTGCGAGGTTGTAGGCCGTCTTGGAGGTGTCCAGGCGAGGGCGGGCTCGAGGGTATATAAACCATGGTATGTTTTCCTTGCCATTGGCTTCTATTTGCTCTCATCCTCCAGCTCTCCCGGTGGTTCTGTCGCCTCATTCAGTTTTTTTACCGCACTCACAGTCATCTCATTCGTTTGTTCGACCAAGACGCGTCGTCATTCCTCCAATATCCATTACATCCCACAAAACCATCCGTCCGAGCGCGCACATTGTCCACGGCACTTTCAACACGGTAAAGGCACCTTTCTGAATGACCAGCCACACCATTAAGGCAAATGCCAACCATACTCTGTGTAGGTCGTTCCGACGTCCATGCCACCGTTCTCGTTTGATGTTTACCATAACTCTCGTGTGTCCAGCTATCCTCGCCTTTATTCTACGCGTCATTCTCTGTTCTAGATGCCCCAAACGGAGCGCCTTGAATGTTGCTGAGGGAGGTCAGGCAGATCAACAGTGTACTGACTTGCTGGCAAGACCTACTACAGCAACACGCGGGCCCGCTCCTTCGCCATGCACCGTTGCAAACCAAGAAACACCGGGGACGCCACATGCGATTCTGTCCCCCCAGGTCCAGCCGATTCAACCTGCTCCCATCTCCCCGAGTCGACCGATCCCCATACAGGATGCAGAGGCTCGTCGTCCCGTCAGGCGCGAAGTAAGGTTCATCCTGCCTGGGGAAGTTGGCAGCGTAGGTTTCGAGTCGCATGCGTCTTCCATCAGCAACAGCTTGGATGATAATGCCGAAGATTTGTTGTTTACGATGGAACTATGATTCTCTGAGCGGGCTATCCCTCACTGTTCATTACACTCAATCTTAGTCTAATTTTCACGTTCTCTCTTTGTCATTTACTACGTACCCCAGTTCTTTCCCTCAATCGCCCTCTGACATTACTATATTGTCTTTATGATACACCCTAACATTCATACACTGCGTGTATGATATTTGTAATCGGTCAAAATGAAGACGCCATATCTAGTAGTCACGACGCGTTGTTGTGTAGAGGAGAGTAAGGCTTGTCCTACAGTTGAACGCTACAACATGAGGATCTGTACGGCAGGTAAATTAAGAACAAGGGGAACGATTTCTATTGGATAGACGGACTTTAGCTTTGTTGACGCTGAGACTCACAGCCGTGGGTTGTTTCCATGTTGTCATTGACTTTTGTTCAGTTGGCAGCTTCATCACATGGTAGCTGATCTTTCCATGAGCTTCCTTAGTGTTCTCAGCGTCCTTGGTATCATTCGTTCATCAAAGTCAGCTGCCTAAGCTTATTCCCGCCCCATTCTTTGGGGACGTGTTTCGACGATTGTCATACGCGGACTGTTAATTAGGTATTCGCATTCTTCCGTACAGCGTGATTAAGTTTATCGCAGGGCGTAACAAGATTTTTACCGCACTATTGGAACTCAAATGAAGATATCAGAGTCTCAGGTACCGTAAACTAGGTTCCGGAGCCCCGTAAGACATAAACACGTTTCGAAGGTATATCCGGGTGATTACCGGGTATACCACGTCATTCGGATCAATGGCGACTTTTCGGCGATGAATTATTTGTGATCAAAGTCCGTGCAGAGTCTATGCAAGCGACCCATGGAAGTCGAAACGTGTCCTGCTTGCACTTTTAGGAAGGTAGTCGAGAAGGCATACCTGTCTGGAAGGGCGGACTGCACACACCAGCTAAATATAAGAGAAAATGATCGGGTCAAACATGCCATATCCAGCATGGCAGCCTCGGAGCGGGGTTCTTAGTATAAAAAAAGGCAAACGTGCCTGCTTTCGGATTTCCCCTGCTCCTCGTTTTCCATCATGCACAAATGAGCATGTCTACAGATCCGGACTCATTACTCGTATATTCAAAACTTCTGCCCGCTTTTATTTGGTTCTCTGTTTGTGGTATTGATGAGATCCCCTTCAGATCAGATTTGCTCTCGATCTGGACATCCTCACCCTTTTAGGGCCATACTCCCGGTGATATGATAACGAACCCTAACCTAGCGCTTCCTTCGTTGCCATCCTTCCCTCCCCTCCCTCCCCTCCCCGTTTTCGCACCAAGGATCCCCGCGTCCGCAGAGCTGGTACGTCGCTCAAATTCTCTAACGTCAACACTCACTTATTTCAGCCCTCCCACGAGGCAGCTTTAAGTGCGTACCACACTCCATTGCTGTTGGGCTATGAACTCACGAATACCTGACGATAGCACTCTCCCGACTTCGTAATGGTGATCTCCGTCTCTATTCCTTCTCCCGACTTTTCCCCATATCGCCCCTGTCCTCCCTACAGATGCAGGATATACAGGTACGCTCTCGCTCGAATACCTAATATCCCCCAACGATAAAAGTATCCATCATAGACCCGAACTCGTCGGTCGTGAACGCATACTTGATCGCGGATAGCTCGGGTCCCGTCTTCCGGCGCACCCTCTCTCATTCCAGGCACCTTGGGCAGCCCAACCATGGCCAAGGCTTTGCTCTCACGCCGCCCGTCCGCACCTCGCGTTTAGCGAGCTCATCCCCGCGTTTGAAGCACGCGCCAGGGTGTCCTGTTTGCGTCAGTGTGTACCGCTGTATATCTTGCACTCCCCGTACTATTATAGGCAGGCGTTTCGCAAGATGTACAATGATGCTGGTACGTCTTTTGCTTGCAGACTTATACCCTTTAGTGACGTTGCAGCTTAATTATATATTTGCCGTCCGGTGTTAGGCTTCGAATCGGTGAGCACTTTTCTACATATTTGGATTTGTTTCACTTGCTGTGCATACATCTGCTCACGTCGGAGCTTCTGTCGTCACGCAGCGTCTCTTTGACTGTTTGACCGCGGATCGGTGCTGTTTCATCGTTTTTAAACTATCTTTCCACAAGTCGAATCGGGAGGGTCGGTCTGCGTGTCTGACGCACACGCCGATCCGACGTGTCGCGACAAGTCCTATCTCGCTCGTGCGTAGCTAGCTTCTCAAATACTGAAGTAGTAGGATTACCTCATGCCGGAGATGTTTTGCTCCTCTGCGTCACATGCTGCGCACGAGCCATCTTAGAAACTGGGAGGCAGGTTAGGAGGTGGGTGTCGGTCGGTCGCCCTCCTTCGTTCCAGGGTATTTTTCTCGTGCCCTCCCGCCATCCCCATCGAGCTCGTATTTTTTCCTGCCTAGATACGTCGAACTTTGTTGTTTCTGTTCCCGGTTTTTCTTCTTCTTTTTTTTCGCCCCCATGTTATACTTATGTCGGGTTATTCATCATATATTGTAGTCTGCTCCACGTAATATTCTCGAGCTCCCGGTCAGCCTGGGAGTCGCGGCGCTTCTACCTCTTGGTGGCGAACCAGCTACCAACTGCGACCCCGATCACTCCCCCATGGTATCTTCAGTATCCGGCTTATATCGCTCCCATTCCCTTTCCACGTATAGCCACCGTAGGGTTCCATTGCTTGCCTCTATTTCTGACTTTAATGATCGTCTCTTACAAAGGTGATGTCGCGTTCACGTGGAGGTGCATATTACTCAGTTACTATAGTCTGCTCATCGTAGGTTATTTCTATTGAATGTTCAAATTGTCTCATCTGCAATGTATGTTACTTTGATGCTGACTACATTGCGTGACGTCTTGGCGTATCAAGGGTCTCCAAGCTTTACTAGCTTTATAGGTGTCGCATAAGATGTCTGATTTAACCTTGATGGGCGCAATGTGGTCGCACCTTGATAACTACCGTCCTTGGCATTGCCATCTGCTGTTCGTTTTCGAAAGGAGATACGTCTTGGCTAATTCGGTCACTAATCCCATGTTTATACATAGTTTAAAATTCCGTGCATTGTGCTTTTCCCTCCGCAAACGTTATGCCAACGTTATGCTAGACTTCATGCACTGAGAACACTCGGATTCTGCGTTAATCATAAATGAGTGCCTTCAACGTTTTGGTGATTGCGCCAGTGCACTAGGAAGATGATCATTTCAGCACTCTGATGGGACATGTTACCCGTATCTTCAGCTTCAATGTTTTCCCCAGCTTATTTTTGCTCCTATTTGGCAGCGGTCACAGGGTTAGGGTTAGGATGGGTTATTGTCCTTTGTCTTCATGTTATGTAGTAGGCAAAAGTTCACACATATTCTATTTGTTCATGTCCTCGCCCATTAGAGCTAGCATTAAACGATGCCGTAGCGGAGCACGGCATGTCTTGTACCTTGATTCCAATTTTGGAAGATTGATGGTTGAGCACGTCTCGTTCCCATCTTGTGATTTGTCTTTCATATAATTGATACTAATATTAGACAGCAGCGCAAAGGGAGAGTTTACCTATCGAAAGATCTCGGTCAATCGTGTTGCGCTCACGCTCGCACGCGACGGGTCCAGCGCGCAAATGAGCTCGTCGAAACGAGAAAGTACAAGCCTTCAATCCTTTTCCTCCTCATCCACCTACCATCGGCCCGCATAGCCCTCCATCTCAGAGCATCGCAATTTTTGTGCTAGCAAGACGAGTCACGATATCCATACTACAGCGCTGGGCTCAAGCAACGTGTAAGGGGATACAGCATCTCGATGCCAAAGGCCAAACATAGCAAGCCTCGTATGTCAGCCCACTCCGTCATATTGTACATCCATACTATCTTACTGTTCATAGTCAAACGCAGCTACGTTAGCTATACAACACCACTGAAAGATAAAGTGTCTCAGGCTGTCATGAGAAAAGCAGCTCTCAAGGAGAGAAAGATCAGCTCTCTCAGTGTTGATCTTTCAGCGACGTTGAGACACTACCGTACAGAGTACGAAGCCAAGAATTTATCATCAGCGGACCTGCAGTCATTAAGCGAGGAGGAGATATACGCAATGACGCGTGCAAACACACGGGCTAACGCACAGGAGAAACATTCCTCTGGAGCTATACGTGCGTTTAGAAAGGTGAGACCTTTGACTTCAACTGATTCGTATGACTGACACGCATCACACTGCGAAGGCGTGTCGTGATGCCGTCAAATCAAGAGAGCAAAGAACATAGTCTCCTACTTTTGTGATGCTCATTGAATCCTATTCTTGACACACCACTCAGTCTATAGTCGCCTTTGTTGAATCTAACGGATGAACGATCTATTTCAACCTTCCTTACATTCCTATTAGTACTACATTATCACCATGATTTCCTTACCGTTGACCCATGCTAGCCTCTATGCTCATCAAATAATTACTACTTTCACTGCTGAGTCACTTCTATGCATAACGCACCCTTCTCGACACAATCATCACGGATGAAACCCATCTATGGTTTGATATAAAGAAGGCATACCTTATCCTTCTTTTCGACTTCGCCATTCACGAGGAAACTATGCATCTCAGAGTCAGCGAGATACTCGCGATCCGTGTTTGATGGTCGTATTCAATGAGAGCTTTCCGCACCCATTGTTGCTCGTTTTCGGGAGCTGCGATCGTCGGTAAAGTTGGCTGATGTGAGAGAAGACGAGACACATGTCTGATGCTACGCCACACTTTTGGACTTTGACAAATTTGACCGTTCTTCCCAGTTCACCGCAGCTGTAGATCTTTGATTGTTTCCATCTTTGATTTTCACAGGAGAGATGTTGTTAAGGGTCCTTGGTGCGCCGCTTTGGCCGGGGCCCGTTGGATACTTTGACTGTGGAGGTAAAATGTAATGGATTTGAAGATGATGGCCGCTGCGGAGTTCCGCCGCTCGAGGGTCTCGAGGCCCGCGTCGGATACCGACGGTAATTGCAAATCAGAGTGCTTCTTTTGATTACCTTCGGAAGCATCCGAGCAACCGTTCCAGTGCCTGGTTCTCTCCGCCTTGATTATTCTTTCCCTGACAACACTTATTCGCGCCTTCTCTCGTACATTTTTAGATAGCGTCGTCAGATAGCTCTTTTCGGCAAGGCAAACACTCGGACTCAAGTCGAACTACACATATTGATGATATTGCCACTTTGGGTGATTAGTTTGTTGGATTGAAGAACGGCACCTTCACTCGACCCAGTTCGAAGGTCGCGAGCGTGTCCGATAGTCTAGCGAATCATGTCAAGTCGTATGGAACCTACACGTTAAGGCCGTTAATTTGAGTGAACAGAGGAAACAAACGAGACTAGACGAACCTGCACGAGGTGTCCACCGAACCAAAGCCTAGATGTCAAGATGATTAGTCGTAAGTACAAAATGATGGGACGGAAGAAAGAGATGAACCTAGTTGAAGACCGGGTAGAGGTTGGCATTGGGGAACTTAGCCTTGATGATGAGCCAGAGCCAGAACATCGGTGTAGCATAAGTGATATCCGACGACTCCGTCTTGCCAGACCCGCCAGTAATGAGGCCACCGAATTCGCCAGAGCCGGAGGCGATCATCGATCCGGAGTCTCCGCCTTTGGAGAACGCGCCTGAGCCGTTGTCGTATGGGAGAATTGCCCATTCAATCGAATCCCGGTGAGTCTGGTTGGAGAAGTATTCGCGCGCATAGGAGAAGAACCTGGAAGCACGACCAATCGTGGTGCGGGTCGTAAGGCCGTGCTTGATAACGAAGAGGCAGTTTTCGCCTTCGTGATCCTTCATGTCGGGATGGCGCATGCGATCTTCGGCAAGAATGCCCCTGAGCTCGAGGAGGCGTTCATCTGGGTATTTGAAGCCGAACGGCGCGTCCTTGCGAGGATTCATCTTGTTTTGGAACTTGGCAGCCTCGATCTCCGTCCCTAAATATAAACAGTTATATCGGACGCATTTAGTGGAAAAAAAAGACAAAGGTCAGCACGCACCTAAGTCGATAACGTTCCCCTTAAAGTTAGGCAAAAACTTGGCCTTGTCGAGTTTGACGACGCAAACGTCCTTGGCGAAGCCATGCGGGCCGGTACCGACAGTGATACCAGGCGACCAGACAACATGACCGATCACACGCTGGCTCGGCTTACCAAAGTCCTTCTTCGTCTGCTCGTAGAGCTCCTGAAGCTCGTCAATCGCGTCGGTCGTCTCCTTCAGCAGCTCCCGAGTCTTTGTCAGCTCCTTCTTCGCCTTCTCAGCGGCAGGGTCATCACCTGCCACCCTCCCCTCCAACCTCCCGATCGACCTCTCGTGGATTTCCGCCGCAGTGCCAAGGACTCCTATCTGGATCTGGACGGACTTGAGGTAGTCGTCCCATGCCTTGGTTCCCATGAGGAGGACTTCCTTACGAGGCCCTCTGGGGTTGTAGGTGTAGTCGGAGTTGTCCTCATCTGTGGGGAAGAGAACATGACGGGCCGTAACACCATAGAGGTCGTCGCCGTCCTTGAAGTAGAAGCCCATAGTACCCTGGAGGTGGGGCGTCTTCGCGGAAGCGATAGGAAGTCCAAGCGCAGTAGTGAGAGGATCAATGACGTGCCTAATTGCATCCAGGTCCGAGGCGGGTTCGTAGAGCTCTACACCAGCTGAGCGCCTGAACACCGATTCCCGGAATTCGATGTCGACAGCTGTAATGCCCTCGTCATTGAGGAGTGCAAGTATGGCGTTGGCTGAGTTGGACGCATCCTCAACGGCGAGACTATCGGGAAGAACGCCGACCCAGATCACGACAGGAGTGATAGAAGCAGGTGTTTGTTGGTCCGGGACCGTGCGGAAACGGACGAGGTCGATGGTCGAAAAGCGGACCTGCTGCTTGTCGAGAAGGCCACGAACCCTGGGACAGACATCCTCCCATTTGTCGCCAAGCTTGTGGTCATAGACCGGATAAAGATACTTCAAGCGACGATACGCCTCTGGTCCCTTGGGCATGATAAAGGGATCCTTCGACGTGCGATAGACCAGCTTGGGAGGGAAATAGGAGATCCCCGCATAGTAGAAGGTGGCCTCGACCTTGGAGATAGTAACGTTGGGAGGAGAGCCGGAAGAGACGCTCGAGGCGTATTCGTCGTAGAGACTGAGGTCGGAGAAGTCCGTTTCGGTGACTGAGAGGGTAGGGCCCTGGCTGTTCTGCCTGGCTTGCGCGATACATTATTGGAGGAATGCCGAGGAAATCACTAGACGGGTATACGGGCAGGTCAGTATAAAAGGATAGTAGTAAAACGTGAAAGAACTCACTTGCTTTAGTCGAGTACAATTCTCTGAAAGAGTCGACGCATAGAGTCTGTTGGGATCTGACTGAGGGAGTTGGGTTGAGTAGTTTGGCGGATGAGCTCGAGCGCGTTGACCCTATGCCTGAGCTTCCCACGGGTCCCATGTTTGGAACATAGGCTGAAATTGACGACACACTCATCCTTACATGGTCTGACGTTTTTTCATCTCGATCCATGGTAAATGCTTCGTCATAGGATGAATGGCTTGAACAAATCTCCATAATGGCTTTCCTGACCATTATACATACAAACATACGGCACCTCATCACAACCTCGTAACCCTCAAGGGCAAGTCCACCTTCTCCTCGCCCACGATCCTCGGGCGCGCCAAAATCCCCCTTGCAATCTCCACCTCCGCCTTCTCGTCTCGCATCTCGAACTTGAAGTTCCGCACGAGCGTGCACAACACCGCCTTGAACTCCGCGAGCGCGAACGCGCGCCCGAGACACATCCGCGGGCCGTCCGCGAACGACAGAATGTGCTTGTATCCCTGTATCTCGCGTGCGCGGTACGCTGGGTCGAGCCCAACGATCACACCGCCCACGTCTGAGTTGGAGTTGGCATTGAGCCACCGCTCAGGGACGAACCGCTTAGCGTCGGGCCCCCAGAGCTTCTCGGAGCGGTTCATGTGCTCGATCGAGACGGTCACTTGGGTCCCCTTTTCGATTACGACGTGATCCATAAGAGTGCCATAGGCGTCGGTGATGGGCTCGCTGAGCGGAATGATGTCGCCTTCGGTTGCCTGTGGGGATGCGGCCAGAGCGTGAATATACGATTACCGATACCGATGTCGGAGTCACTTACGATGCGCGTGGTCTCCTGAGCAGGCGAGTGGACCCGGAGGATCTCACAGACGACGGCGTCAAGGTATGGGAGCCCATTGGTGAGCTGCTCGTATGTAGGGTCATTGCCGGAGAAGTGCAAAAGCTCGCCCCTTAACTTGTCTTGGATAGATTGGTTTTGTGCGAGTTCAACTAATGCCCACTTGGCGCAGTTAGTGTCGTGTCTGAACGAATGTAATCATTGTTAACACTCACAGACAAGCTAACTGTAGCGACAGAAGAGTGCACATCAATTTGCTTCACTCTCCATAGACCAGCAATCCGATACGTACTTGAAGTAGTTTCATATCCAGCAACGAGAAGCAACTTAATCTGTGATAGCACTTCGTCCTCGGACATGTATAGCTCCGCCCCTTCTGCACGCGACTTGACTACATAAACACCATAAGTGAGCAACAGAAAGTATGAAAGAAACCGACGCTTACTAAGGAGCCCGATGACCGACTTGTCCTCCCTCCCGGGCATCAACCCCATCTTCTCCTGGCGCACTCGTTCAATGAGCTCCTTTGCCGCAGCTTCAACAGTGCTGTTAAGATTCTTGAACAGCTGGAGCATATTAGTCGGAACGTGCTTGAGAGCCGGAAAGATGGGGCCAAGGATCGTGACCGCGATCGCAGCGAGAGACGGCTTCGTCGAAGTGAACCTATCGAGAACGTCTGCAACGTCCGAGTGCTTGCCATCGATGGTGCCAAAGTCGTGCGAGAAGCCAGCGATGCCGATGGAGTCGAGTCTGCAAAGAATGGTCTCAACAAGGCGTAGGCGGACCTGAAGTAGTCACACTCACGATACACGGCTCATCCAGCCTTGGACTTCGATGATGCTGCTGTCTGATTCTTCAAGAATGGATGTCCATGCATCGGTTACCTACGCACACGATGTGAGCGAGCTTAAATTCAAGGGTCCACGAAGTAGATATCCGACGTACCTTGTAAGCGGAATCGTAAAACGTGCCCGTGACATTTCGGATAGCTGCGTTGCTGAAAGCAGGCGTCATCGCTTTGCGTTGTCTAAATTGCGGCCAGCTTGAGATTGAATCTATAGGACGTGTGATAGGGAGTGACGCACCGTTTGTGACTGTCGCCCACAGCGATGATGAGACTATCCCCTGTCTATGGTTACCAGCGTCAGACATCGTTTTTGACGGACATTGACAAGGATGACGAGCGTACCGAAGCCTTGAAGAAGCTTTTAGCCACTTCCTCCTTGTCGTAGCGCGCCGTCTCATATTGATAGAAGTGCGAAACGGCCTTCGGATCGCATAACACGATGCCAGACATGCCGAAAGTCGTAGGAAGCGCATATACGGATCCGTACTCCTTCTCCCAGCCCTCGAAGAGAGAACCTGCGTCCTTGCTAGCAAGGAGCATGTGGCCTTGGCCAAGGAACCAGTTTGCACGGGGCGGGCCTCTGAGACGCGTGCCGACGAGGTAGCGGCGCGTCAATCGAGAGACCCTGAGGAAGAGCCATACACTGGCAGAGACGAGTACCATATCTAGGGTGCGCAGGGTTTGCACGGACCGTAGAGGGACATCTAGCGAGAGAGGGAAGAGGTTGTTAGAGATGTGGGTAAGCATGATAATGAGGAAGGATGAGGGACTCGAGCGTTACACAGGGCCTTTATATACGCCCAGAAACCCAGGATCTGGGAGCTGAAGTCGGCGACACGAGTCCGACGTGTCACGGAAATTACTCACCTCAAAAGCTTTTGCATCAAGCCGTCGGAGCGCTGTACGAGGTCTTGGTGCAGCGCGCACTGTAGATTGACTTCCGCATGAGATGGTGACGGTTTGTGGTAAAGTTATCGGTGCTTTTTGTCGTCCAAATTTGGATGAGCTGGTGTCCAAGGCGAGCAAGGGTGCAAGACGGGCATTTTCCCACGTTTCACCAATCCCCCCACTTTCGCCTGGCATAAGTTCAAGTGACTGGGGCTTACTCTTTTTGCCAGCTCGTGCAACTTGAAGAAGGACTTATCCCCAGTATAAAAGTTTCGCCATTACTCTAAGGACCCATCGCTTCCCATGGAAGCCTGCGTAGGCATAGCAGAACTCCGCTTACTCATAACACAGTGTGTAGAAGATAACCGGACTCTTTCCAGGCTTGCAAGAGTAAACAAGTCGTTCAGGGAACCTGCCCTCAACGCTCTCTACGCCAGCATCGACTCCCTTCTTACCTTGGTCAAAACTCTACCACCGGACTTATGGGAGCTTCGGGAGGATGGTAGTAAGCGCGACCCGAGATGTCATTCAATCGTGAGTCAACTCTGTCACACCTGATTCCCCCGCCCAAACGCTCAACACGGTTCAATGCGATCCTTCGACAGCGGTTTACCCGTCGGATGTCGAGCAGAGACTGGGACGTGCTACTCTCGTACGCGTCCCGCGTCCAGAGCGTCAAGGAGCAGTTCCCTAGAGGATCTGGCGAGCCCGGAGTCATCCTTTCAAGTGGTGTCTACGACTCGCTCAGTCGGTGCCCTTTTCCGCACCTGTTCCCCAACCTCCGAGCGCTGGACGTGCGTACGGCGGGATCAGAAAGCTATACGTGGCTTGTGGGCATTTTCCTTGGTCCATCGCTGCGGAAGCTGAAACTTTACACGTCGGCTGCTCATGACGCCGACGATGAGACGTTGCTCGAGTACGCTCCGCGTATCGCAGTGATGTGCCCTCTGATGGAGGAGATCACTGTTTTGGCTTTCGTGCGCCGGGAAACGCTGAGCCTCGCCAGGTCTGAGACAGTTTGCGCGTGGAAGCATTTGCGCAGTGTCAATTGGGGACCCGTGGATGACTCTATGCTTGCGCATATGAGTGTGCTTGAGCGGTTCAACTCACTCACGGTTCCCGTCCACAGCAAGTCGCGGTGGTTGGCTTCCGACACGCGTTTCTCGCTCAGGGAGCTTACATATCTCGCGCTCAAGACAGACTCCGGAAAGACAGCGGTGCGAGCACTCGAGCGTCTCCTTGGTTCCCCCCCTCCTTCATCCCCTCCGTCCACCTCCAATCAGCCAGCTAAACTATCTCGATTTATCTGTACGACGGTCGAGCTCAAGGCAGTTTCTAAGCTCACGTCCTCTTTGACCCGTCTATGCTCTGATAAAGAAAGCATCCTTCTCGTCTGGCTGTCCGACGGGGACTTGTTCGGCTCAGACCTCACAAGAAAGCACTCCACCGATTGGCTGGATGGTATCAACGCTCTATCGACCTTTCAAAACCTGCGCATTCTCCGTGTCTGGTACTCCAAACAGCCCTTGAAAGTATCTGCCAAGCAGCTGTGCGACCTTGTTGCGAACTGGCCTCGTCTAAAGTGCCTGTCGTTTGGCAAACTCGAGAACCCCATCAGCTTCGTCTCGCTCGTTGAGATTATACAGATCCTCCCACGTGCCTTCGAGGTTGTCGTTCCTACCATGATAACACCACTGGATACGACCGGCGATGTGTTCAAGAAGGACCCAGAAATGGTGGTACCAGTATTCCGGCGGATAAAGAAGCTGTGTCTTCATTATCAGCACGAGGGGGACAAACCGAATCTTCAAACTGTCGAGTCGGTTGCGGACTTGCTGTGTTACGTGATGCCGGGCCTGGTGTCGGTTCAGCCCGTAGAGGAGTACAAACATGAGCACAAGAAGTACTGGGAGAATGTGGTCCAGGCGATGTTGGCGGAACATGAGCGCGTACGTGCCATAGAGGAATCATAGTACTTATTCTATATAGCATACGATCCCGAGGTGGAATCTCAGCCCTGACATACGGAACTTGGTGTGATTTGAGTATACTACCGTGTGATTTCCGACGTTGATAAAATCTGGTGCAATTAAACCAATTTCTTACTTTGACAAGGGTGTCTGCCACTGAGCCCAGCCGGAATCAAAGTGTTCTACATGATACCTACAGAAACTTCGTATGAGGAGAGTCAGGGGATGGGCGACACCTCTACTCTTGACATTAATCTTCAGAATAAATTTTTCGAGAAAAAGTCACGAGAATAAAGAAGACAGTAACGCACGCTTCACCCACACCAATCCGAATCGGATCCACTTGTGGGTGCGTGTTGGGCCAGAAAGGCAGCATAAAATTAACCTCTTAGCTAGTCGCGCCACCTCTAAACCCACACATGTACAGTCCGTGCTCTCCAAGTTTGACCAGCCCGTGAAATGTACCTTGTTCGCCGGTGCGAAGTTCACCGTGCTCAGACACACGCTGATGTAGTGCTCCAGTCGAGGCTCCTGCAAATCGTATTGAGGGCCCAGGAGTAAAAGCCTTCGTATCCGACAACGTAGTGATAAGAGACTGCTCACGGTGTCTGGGGAATAAGTCGTACGTATGATCGAAGGTGCCAAATGATGCTAAAATGCCGTGATTGAGGTTATGTTTTGCGCTGCCTTCGTCGAAGGCAACGGATGTTCGCGACCTTACTCTAACCTTGTTTATGAAGAATGCGAGAGCCCAAATCAATATCAAAGAAAGTCAAGAGCTTTTATAACGTGATTCGTTTTTATTCGCCCAAACATGTAGATATCCTGACAAGACAGCTACGTGCGCAATACGGTCCTAATATTCAAGAGCTCCGAGTGGCCAAATCCCCACAACTCTCCAATCCCACCAGAATCCCCTGCTCCGGGTGCCTAGAGACCTTGGTCAGTGAAGAGAGAAAGCAAAGACTCACGTTTAAAGTGACCATCCCGCCAGCCCACCCGGTCACTTTGCCGCCAAGTAGTGAGCACTGTTTTTTTTTTATCGGCGACCCTAGTACATCCGGTCAGCTAAAGACCAGAACAAAGGACTCACCTCCAAAGTGACCTTCCCGCCAGCCCGCCCGGTCACTTTGGCGCCAGGTAGTGACCACTTGTTTGTTTATCGGCGACTAACCTAGCACGTCCCGTCAGCCACAGGCAAGAACGATAACTCACCTTCAAAGTGACCTTCCCGCCGGCCCACCCGGTCACTGTGCCGCCAGTCAGTGACCACTGCCTTGTTTACCGGCGACGAAGCTAGTATTCCCAATCAGCCACAGAACAGGGCGGCGATCAACTCACCTTGGGCGCCGAGGGGGCACCGGGGCGCTAGCGCCGGCCATTGGGCGTGCAGGCAGGCGTGGATCGAATCTCGACGGATATCGGTTAGTGACTCGGAGACTGCCCCGCGACAAACGGAGTCAATGGGTGCAGCCGAGCACATCGCCACTCCAGAGATCAACAATCCCGCACTGCGAGCAGCTTGTGATGGACCCGGCCAGCGCCGGTCGGTCGCGCCGCGGTCGGGTGCGGGCAGCAGGCTCGACGTGCGCACGTGTAACCCGGCGAGGACTAGTCGCAGCAGCAAAAGCTCGCTGACGACATGGGGACGCGGGTACATGGCTACACGGAGACGACCACCGCCTGCACCGTCCCACACTGCATATGCAGACCGACCAGGCCCCATAGGACCGGTGGAGGGATGGAGGTAGGAGGCGGAGAGGTAAGAGGGAGAGAGGTGTTGGGGAGAAGAGGTGGGAGCGGGGGGAGGGAGAGAGGTGCTGGATGAAATGGACCAACGCAAGGCTGTCTATATACCTCTCAGAACTGGGCGGCTGGCTTCGGGATGAATTTCCTCGGTGAGCAGGATGGTTGGCCGCGGGTCCAGGCATCTGGTCAGTGCGCTAGAAGCCAGTCTGAATTGTAATGACGTGCACTAGACCTCGCCTCGGCAAGGGCTACACCAGACGTCGAGTTTTGCATGGTTTCCACTGGCAATAGGACAAGTAACAGGCAGAGTCGACTCGGAAACGACCAAGCAGCATAAACATGGCATATGGAGTGCGTGCGGGGCAGAGGAGGAGGGGAGCTGAAGTTGGAGCGCTCAAAGGCAGTTCGGCTGTGTCGGCGAGTACCAGAATTGCATAGAGGCCAGTACAGTCAAAAAGAGCAAAGGAATGCTGGGGGCTAGACTCTCAGTCAGTCTCCGCGGGGATCCTGGTCCGCCTCTATGTCGTCAGTAAAAGTTAGTCGTCAAAGCGTGTAGACATGAGGAGACAATCGCGCACAGAGTCACACATGTTTGGTCGCCGTAATCGTGAAAGATCTGCACGCGTGTTCAGAGGAAAGTGTGGCAAGACCAACGAAGAGCAATTAACGAGATTGACGCGCAAACACAAAACCGTCCATCGGATGTCCACCACTACACACCTGCCATCGAAAGCCGTGTTCAAGTGTCAACCGAATGCCACCGACAAATACGGACCGTGGCGCCGTCCGGTCCGTCGGCTTGTCGCGCATGCGACACCTCCAGCAGCGATCCGCACGTTCTGGTTCGAGCCCGAGACAACGATGACAAGCTTATCACAAGGCTCGGTGCCTCGCTATCCTTCCCCGCCCTCATGTTATGTACGCCCACCCAGTCCTCCGAGAACTCCGCCATTCACGCGTCCTGTAGCCGCCAAGGCTTCGCAGGAGTCCGCTCCTGTGAGATTCAAGAGCCCATGGGCGTCTGTGAGCGCTCGTCCGAGCAAGCCCCACATGCATGACGACCGTGATGCTGAGGTGGTCGTGCGCTGGCGAGATGATCAGGGACGGTGAAATGGCTCTAAATTATTTCCAAAGCCAGCAATCCGGTCATCAAATTGACTATCAAGGGGCGGGGTGAGTTGGAAGCACATGGCCATCCGGACCTCACGTCGCACTTCAGGGCAGCATCTTGACAGTCGCACTTATAAAACCTTCATCGCTCATCTGAAACACGCTACGCCCGGCTCTCCATCTTACTCCCCCTCCTCCACCGCCATTATGGCCCGTACCTCCAGCTTCGGCCGCCTGGCCCTCTTCGTTGGCCTCGTCATGGCCAACAGCGCCCTTGCGCTCTGGCCCATCCCTCGCAACATGACCTCCGGCTCCACCGCCCTCAAGCTCGACCATGGTTTCAACATCGAGGTCGACGTCCAGCAGGCGCCCAGCGACCTCCACGACGCTGTCCAGCAGGCCCAGAAGTACCTCGAGAACGACAAGCTCGGCAGGCTCGTCGTCGGGCGCGGCTCCAACGACTCCACGGCCATCTCCGGCGCCAAGAGCGTTAAGAAGCTCAAGCTCTCGCTTGAGGACGGCGCCTCGGTGAAGAGCATCACCGACGAGTCGCGCGCCAAATTTGAGGACAGGATCGAGGGCTACAAGCTCTCTATCCCGGCCGACGGCTCTGACGCGACGCTCGTCGCCAACTCGACCCTCGGCCTGTACCGCGGTCTTACGACCTTTGGCCAGATCTGGTACACGTACGGCCAGGACACGTACACGCTCGAGGCGCCGTTTGATATCGAGGACTCTCCGGCCTACGTGAGTGCTCTCGGGTCTTTGATGTCGCGTGACACGTTCTCAATGCCCAAACTTTATGCCTTACACAGCCCTACCGCGGTCTCGGTCTCGATACTGCTCGTAACTACTTCCCTGTCGAGAACATTCTTCGCACCATCGATGCCATGAGCTGGGTCAAGGTAAGCTTATCGAGCCAGCCCCGTATCCTGTTTCGCTCATGACTTGGAAAGATCAACACCTTCCACTGGCACATCACCGACAGCCAGAGCTGGCCCCTCGAGCTCTCCGATTACCCGGAGCTCGCTCAGAAGGGCGCCTACACCTCGAGCCAGGTTTACTCTGAGAAGGACGTTCAAGATGTCATTGCTTACGCCGGCGCAGTACGTCCAATCTACACTTGCCTCATGTGATCCCTCGCTCACGCCCCACCCCCAGCGCGGCATCGACGTCATGCTCGAGATCGACACGCCCGGGCACACCTCCGTCATCGGCAACGCCTACCCCGACTACGTCGCCTGCCAGAACGAGGCGCCGTGGGCCACGTACGCCAACGAGCCGCCCGCGGGCCAGCTGCGCTTCCCGCTGGAGGAGGTGCAGAACTTCACCGCGGGCCTGCTGTCGTCGATCGCGAAGCAGGTGCCGGGCAACTACTTCAGCACGGGCGGCGACGAGCTCAACGAGAAGTGCTACACGGACGACCCGGTCACGTCGCAGTACCTGAACAGCACGGGCACGACGCTGAACGACGCGCTGGACCAGTTCACCAAGGTCACGCATGCGCCGCTCGTCGCGATGGGCAAGACGCCCGTCGTGTGGGAGGAGATGGTGCTTAACTATAATTTGACGTCGTTGAGCAACGATACGATCGTGATGACGTGGATCTCGTCCGCTGATGCGGCTGCGGTTGCGGACAAGGGCTTCCGCATCGTCCAGGCGCCGTCTGACTACTTCTACCTCGTGCGCCCCTACTATCTTCCTTTTCTGACTTCACAACTAACATCGACGTCCAATGAACGCAGGACTGCGGTGGCGGAGGCTGGGTCGGCGACAACCCCAAAGGCAACTCATGGTGCGACCCCTTCAAGACCTGGCAATACGCGTACACCTACGACCCGCTCGCGAACCTCACCGCAACGCAGGCCGCGCTCGTCCTCGGCGGCGAGCAGATTCTCTGGACGGAGCAGTCCGGCCCGGAGAACCTCGAGCCCGTCGTGTGGCCGCGCGCCGCGTCGAGCGCGGAGGTGTTCTGGAGCGCCGCGCAGCCGAGCGGGCAGCCGCTGAACGCGACGGAGGCGCTGCCCCGTCTGCATGATGTGCGCTACCGGATGGTGCAGCGCGGGTTGAACGCGATCAATCTCCAGCCGCAGTGGTGCGCGCTGCGCCCGCACGAGTGCGATTTGTATTCGTAAATGCGCTGTTTGTCGCTTGGTTTAGTGTACCGTTTTTGTGGCCGTCCTGGAGGGGACGATAACTTTGATGCTAGTATTTATAGTGTAGCGAATCTCACCTAGTTAGTCGAGTATGACGTCCGCTCTTTTGTCGATATTCTTTGGTTAATTCGTAGTTGAATATACGCTCTTTGCTTGTTTGGTAAACTACTAATCAAGCCGCCGATCTTGCGACCCTAGGCCAGGCCAGGCATCTTGGGCGACTACCCTCCATGTGCTCGGACGAGTTCAAAGAGGATCAAAGATCACCACCGAACGAGTGTCAATCGATTGTCGCAAAGTTTGTTTTTCGTCTTGCAACCAATCGAAATTGTGAATGTTAGCCGCAATTGAATCCATTCACGTTGCAAGGTCATTGGAATCGATTGCAGTTGAACGGAATCACCAGCATACATTGCTACTATGCACTTTGCGTCAATTATTGCTGTGATAGGGAGTACCTACGAAAATGCGAGTATTTTATTCTTCGAAAGCGTAACCTCGGGGTAAACGTGCGATGGATATGCGAAACTCATATCGATCCCAGCCTGTGGGCTGCTGAGATATAGCGAAGGGAAGCTCCATTAATTGCGGACTGTAGGTCATATTGCGAGGACTTCGAACGTTCACAGTGCAGTATCCCGATGTAATGCACTACGACTGCTCTGCGGCGGCTATGACGTGCACCGCTTTCAAAACGCTCTCCCAGTACGTCTCGTGCGGCGTATCAGAGGTATGTTCGTGCTCGATCGAAACCAACTGCGGCACGACGTATGACAGCAAGGATGCGACCGAGTCTACGGTGTCGAGATCAGGTGGGCCTTCGTGTTTGTATTCCAGAAGCAGCGTCCTGATCCGGCGAAAATCTGGAATCTCGGCCATGGATGTCTTGAATTCGGCTGTATCGGAAGGCGTGATGATGGTGGGGATACAGACTTCCTGCACGCGGGGGAGACGTTTCATGATATCGACGAGCGCGGACAACGTGATGGGCTTCTTGAGCGACTGGATGTTTATATACTTCATGCGCGGCCAATGAGAGACAAGACCGAGCAGTTGCTTGCTGGATATGGCCAGTTCACTGTAATCCACGCTCAGATAATGCAGCTTTCGAAAGGATTTTAGGGCGCGAAGACCGTCCAGGCAATCAGAGTTCTTCGGAGTCATCGTTCTGAGACTGGAAGAATCACATTTCCAGGCGGACAGGGTGATATGAATGACGTTATCGGTGCATATTCGCCTCAGGGCGGATGTGAGCTTGCATAAAGCAGCTAGCTCCACAGTTTTACAAAAGAACTGGGAAATATTGGCTCGTCGATTAGCAGGGATCGGAGTGGATGAGAGAGGGCCGAGGAGCCGCTGGAGAACTCGCAAGGCGGTGTTCCCCGAGTCTGTTTCGATTATTAGCCTGCTAAGCCTCCTAAACGAGATGTGCGTCTTTGAATTTAGCCACGGCGATTCACTGTTGGCATAGGCGGTGAGGGAGTACAAAGATGCGAGCCCGCTGAGATGTGTAAGCATAGAGCTGTCCAAGGGCCCCCAGTCGACGCAGCCCAGATGTTTCCACGAACAGAGTGTCTCCGACATGGCGAGAGTTGGCCTTTCCTAGGCGCTGTGGCTGGGTACCTCAATCGTCTCCATTAAAGGGCATGTCATGGCTATACGGGGCGCGTGGAGGAGCAAAGGTTCTTTGGACTCGGGGTAAGATGGGGAGATGCTCAGACACCGGAGGCGCGGGCCGAGGAAGAGAGTAGCTAGCCAGGCGCAATGCTTGTGTCCGCCGAAGCGACACACGTACACTGACCGGACGTTGGGGAGCATGTGCGCAAAAGGATGCCGGCAGAGAGCATCGTACACTTCTTCAGCGAGAGTGACACCAGGGATTGCGAACCACCCGGGAAACTGCACCTTGACGCTCAGAACGCGGGAGGCGTACGAGTGCAGCACGTCCCAGTCCGTGCTCGACATCCGACGGGTGAGACGCTGACAAAAAACCACCATGAGCACCCGAAAGGGGCTATCACATATAAACAAGACTCACAAGAATGTGGGAGTTCAAATCGTCCGCACGAGTATCTTTTTTCAGTTCCCAGAGATCCTGTGGTAACGTTCTGACCAGGTCGGCGAGGGAATCGATACTGGCGTAGAGGACGTCAAGTGCGGGCTCTTTGAACAGCTTGTCCACTCTTGCGAGGCTGGCTAGAGTGCCCTTATCTTCCACAAACTGGACTATCATCATGCGTAGTTCTGCTATGTTCAGATATGCTGGCATGGTGAACGACGCGGCGAGAGAGGTGAAAGCTAGAACAAGATGCAGAGCAGTTGATTGATTTTTCACAGCCGTGGACTTCAGTCGGCGCCCCAACCACGGCCAAATATAGTAAGCCCCTACGGTCAAATATGAAGCGGAGTCTTAAAGGCGCGTCTGACCTTCAAGCTTCAGGCCTTCAGGGGGCATCAAACGATGAACTGGTCTGAGATCGGTCATGCGTGGAGAAGGTGAATATACTTTGCACGAGTTAGATTCAATTACACTACTTAGCGATTTACTGTGATGAAACATATGCGCACAACCTCATACTGGTCGTGAGAGGTAGGTCGAGTTGTATGATAATCACAATCACGATAAGAAGACGTTGAGGACAGCTGCTAAATCTATGAGTGTTGTGATCGACATTACATACAGGAGAAAAATAAGATGTGTCAACCTAGTAACTGCATCTTCTAACAAATACGAAGCGTCTACATTTGAATGCATATAATAATTAAGGACTAGCAAAAGCATCTGCCCGCACAGAAATATAAGTAATAGTAACTACTAACTAGGAAGATCCGACATAACATACTAGCAGACTAGCAATTCAGTAGTGTACTGAAGAGAGCCAAGGAGGTCGTAGACGAAGACCAATACAGTGCTACAAAGCTTGCTCTTGAAGTTACTCGAAACCAGCACTAGCCAGAGTCGCTCTCGATCTCATGCGATGTACCCATGAATGCTACAGTCGAAATCTCACTTGATCCTGCTGTTCCCATTTCCAGCGCCCTAACGTGATGACGACGCAGGATAATAATCATCCGTGGACCAACAATAACCAGTAAAATAGTCTGCATCATATTTTCCATCCCAATATAAACTGATGGCTGAGAGTAGTGATCAAAATGCCGTGAGATTTTGTCTGAAAACATCTATGTCATTTTTATTACGCACGTTGGTAGAATTAGTCCCAAAGATGGAACAAAGGACCATGGATGCGAGGGCACTGAACTTCTTATGAGCTAGCCGTATTTCGCACAAAAGGGGTGTTTGGAAGGGCCTTCAGTACTTACACGAAAAAGTACGCAAGGTTCTGGCGCACAATTATCAAGGTCAAGCTGGTTACTCCATTTGCTGGCATGCTCCACATTGAAGCAGAAAGATTTGTGACTGCATAACACAAAGCAAATGCGCAAAGCAGAACTTCGAATACTAGAGCAGAGGTATTGGATGTTACGTATGTCCAATATAGATTTATAGGATTGTCTTTGACACAAACGTGGGAGGTGATAATACTATTGTCAACTGGTTTCATAGTCATAACGTGGAGCATTGCGGTCAATCCAGCACGAACGCACCCCAGTACTTATCACCGCTTGATAAGTTCCATAAGTTGAAGAGGATGCTGATAGCTTGTGTAGTAATGAAGCATGCTCCGAGAACCAAAAGGGTTGACCTGGATCTCCCAAAGAGTCCGTATATTCGCATGGACATTATGGCTGTCCATTGTATTGTGTTCACGGATAGATTCTCTCCAGATGAAGCAACGGAACAAACCTTGAAGCAAAAAAATAATGATAAGGACAGAGACTTCGCTGGCCACGGCTATAAAGAAGTCTATGAAAACTCTAAATTAGCATGGTTTCGAAACCTTCGGCCTTTGGTACTTGCAACTACAAAACCGGCATTGATGGAACATCAGTTGTATTTTCATATCACTAACATCTATCAAACATCTTAGCTTTCCATACCAAGTTGCATTTAACGTGCAGACCATACTCACTTTTCCTAAGATGGGCAGGCTAAAGCACCCCACTGCAGAAGGAGTCAAAGATTTGATTTGATAATAAAACCATGAATGTTACCAAAAACCAATCTACCACCGGATTAAACTAGGGGAAGTCAGAGCATTGCAACATTACTTACATCACATATATTAATCCCAAGTAGCGCATCTGAAGGTGCAGGAGCATGATGTCAGCATATGAATTATCCTTCAACCAACACCTGTATTTGTCAGGCAGCACCAACCGCTGCATAGAGAACAGTTAACCACGTGAATCTTTTCTCCTGAGGGCATGCTTGAATATGTTATAAGTTTCTAAGGCGGAAAGAAATGTAATACCCATATATACTCAAGCTATTTTACGTGTATCAGTCAAAATGCTTCTGATTCAAGTAGCTTCGTGTGCACCTCAGCTTCAAGATTCAATACTATGAATACAAGAAAGTCGTATCTTTGAAGCATCGGTGAGTGATTGATTCAACACACCGTAATCGTAGACTGCGAGAGTAGCAGCGGCAACTGTAGAGTATGCAAGAATGATTATGGATCATCCATGACCAGTGGTAAGATCAAGTAGCGCACCATATATAAAGTTAATCTCCAGAATGGAAGCCACTTCTTGCAGAATTCCTGGCTCAAGCGGGGTGCTGGCCATGTTGAAAGGACGGAATCAGGGTTAATCAGTCAAGGTATGGATATATGGTCGTTTTATACATAATATTGCAAACAGCAACCGGCTCCCGATGATCATTTTCAAATTGAACACAGGAAAACTGGACATTGTGATGGATGTGGCGAAGATTTGGTTTTGCATATACACACGCACGAAGACGATCAGCATCACGATCTTGATACTAAGCATCTCAAAACATGAGAACACGAAGTAGCTCAAGAGGAATCAGAGGGCAGCCATCGTGTTGTTCTGAGTAAACATCATATATCTGTTAGATGAAATGTAACGATGACTTACGTTCAAGTGTAACTATCGAGATGTGCCTTGAACAAAGGCGATTCCAAATCTGTAGCATATATAGTTGTATAATACTTACATAGTATCGTGCTGGCCAGCAACATGATGTATGGAGACATCCGAGTCAAAGTCAAAAAAATCGGGCTCAGACGCTGAGCTGCGACCAGTTCTGTGCGATAGCTCCCAGTGCCAGGTGCACATCCAAGAAAGCCAACTCAGACGCAGGTGGAACACATCAACCATCTGCCAGTGTTTCTTGTACAATACTGAACATCTTTGGCTTTTCAAATTCTTTGGATGGTATGCGAACCGGGCACTCAAAGTAAAGCGAGAGTCATCCAAATATCAACAGACAAAGAGCTACCGCCTTCAATTGGACAGTACCAAGGCCGAACAGTAACCATCCAAAATGTTCATCGGCGTTGTTCAACCGAGACTCAGCCTCCAAACATAAGAAGATAGAGTACGGACCCCAAGGGGTTCGCCGTGTCATGTCCATCACTAAATGGGTGGGAAAAGTTTGACCGTTATACCGAGTGATCACCGTTATAATATCGTCGTCGAGACAGTTGTGTATGATCACGGATGGTGACGCATTCCCATTGAGTTAACATATCGTTACGCTGTGGCAGTGAATTTCGGCCGAACACCATGTCGCGGACACTTTACCATTGATCAAAATTGATGATCTTGCTCGTGCATTTGTTGGTCGAATATAAAATACGGAGACCATTTCAGAAACAAAATTATCATTGAGCGATAACTTCAACTGCATATGGCAGCCACCGCTTTAGGTAGACACGAACACTAACGAACAATAAAAACGGTACAGATTTGAATACCCGCTGACCTTTACAATGATGCAAAAGTGGAGCAGGCGAGTGGGGGAAGAAACCCAGCCACACCACATTGGGCGCATGAACACCAATCACTCGGTGTCTTTCTGCTTCTGTTCCTACCTATAGCTCTTGCGAGGCAATGTCTGAAGCGGCG